TACCAAACTGCAGTCTGCATCTAAATCTAGATGTTTTGTGAATCAGCAGCAGCAGTCGAAGAACTCACTACACTGCTTCAAATCACAGAACAGCTGGTAACGAAAAAGCCCGAGCATTAATATTGAATGAACGCCACCTTCTTTTGCTCAAAAACTAATGTTGACATGGCCTTGGGCACGATGTTTCCCCACAGTTTTCCCAATGAAACTGCTCAACTCTGCGCAACTCTGAGGTTTGAATTTGTGAAAGCCAAGTCGGCTGCTGCAAAAGGTCGTATATGCTCAGAGTGAGCAAAAACAGTAAATTATTATAGTTGCTGTACTAGTTGTAAAATCTTCTGATTGCATGGTTTACACAAAAGCGTGCTGGTCACAGGTATGATGCTGAACTTGAGTAGATCCCGACTAATACAGCATTCTTTAGACCAATATGAAATTTAGTCACTTTAAAATCCAAAATAACAGCCACATGTATGGATTTCCCTAACATTTGTTATGTTTAGTTTAGCGCTGTCAGGTTTAACATGTTAATACGGCGTTAACGTGGGTAAACGCGCTAATGCTGTCGTCACGATTAATGCAATTAAATGAGGTTTTAGTGCACTCAACACATCTGGAGTGCAGAATGGACAAATCGGACAAGCTCCAGAAATGCCCAGATGAGTTAATTGTTAATCGTGTTAGTCGTGATGACGGCGTTAACGCGTTTAAGCTGCATTAACGCGTTAACGCCGAGGAACCCCTCACACGGACTAATCTGCGTTAACTCGTTAGCAGGGATTTGCCAATTTTGACGCGTTAACGCGAGTCAGTTTGTGTTAACGCGAGTCAGTTTGTGTTAACGCATTAGCGCTGACAGCACTAGTTGAGTTATTTATGAGTCCTTACTAAGGTGAGGGCTTTGAGTACTCCGGGAGAGTAGAAAAGCGCTATATAAGAATCAGCCCATTTACTAAGGTGATATGTGAATGCTGTTTAAAAAAAATAAGTTAATAACTGTTTTACAAGTCATGGATCAGTCGTTTACGCTCTGCCCCCTGGTGGACAAATTAGGCAATGTCAATGGTTGAAGGGTGTTTCTTCCATCTCCACTTTTAATTTTTCAACGTTGGAAATCTGACACTGATTTATCTCCAAACAGCCAACATCAGGCAATATAACGGCCAATATGCTGGATAAGTTCTAAAACAGGCTTTAAATGGGAGTCTGAGAGGGCTTAATCATCAGTAAGACACATTAGCAAAATCGGCAAAGCAGAGGTTCTAATTAAAAAGTAATGATTGTCCTGGTCTATATAAATTCACACAGCCGAGAACCAGACATTCAAATCCATCCTTCACCTTGGTTCCTACCTCATTTCTTTTGGCAACTCGTCTGGCCACAATGAGCTGGATCATACCACGCTTGTTGCCTTCAGTTGACATGGACTTGCGTAGCGTCTCCATAGCGTCTTGGTTGGTTTTGCCCAATAGCGACTCGCCGTTGACAGCAATCAACTGGTCATTTACTCGCAGTCGCCCGTCCTTTTAATAAACAACCAATTACATATGCTGTTTAAACTTTTAACACTATGTTTTTACTGACTGAACTTAAATAAACGCTGTAAATAGACCTAAAAGCACTTACACCTCCGGTTTAACAATAACCTTGATCTAATCAGACAAACGACCTCACTCACTAAGAGGATCCTGTTTCTAGTCATGATCTAATGTCTTGGAGAAAACAGTGCTTTCAAGGCCATTATCATGAGCTGTCAACACAAGCTTGTTTGTATGAAAAACAATCAAGTTGAAGGACTATTGAAACTGACTGCAGCACTACAGACAGCCATGGAAGAAAGGGTGCTTTGTGCTCATAGAGCTCATCACAGCTTAAGTGTTTCTTAGAAACAGAAAAGTCGTTTACCTCACGTTCCCTGTTAGAAGGTTAAAGTTACTTTTTAAAGTTTGGCATATCGAAAAATCACACCTAAAATATAAAAAGCTTTAAGACAAAGACATTCTAATGTAATGTAAAGACACACAGATTTAATTCTAAACTTAATGATTCTGCCGCCGGCCAGGTGTCAGTTAGGACTTGCTGGTGTACATTTAGAGTCAGATTTAACTGAATCAGCATCTTTATATTTCAATTTCAGATAAAAAAAAAAAAAACTTGCCTCCATGAATGAACACATTTTTAATCTTTCTTCTTTATTTCCATTCAGATTATTCATGAGAGAGGCTACTGTACCTTGCAGGCTGCACCTCCATTTATGATGGATTTGACAAAGATGCCCAGATCTGCATGGTTTTCCTTGGAGCGGTTGCCTTTAACGCTCACACCCAAACCTGCAGAACCCGAGTCACTGAGGGGGATCTCAAAGGTCAGGAACTCTCTGGTCCCATCAGGGGTCAGGACCAACTCGTCCTCCTCTGTCTTCTGTAAGAGGCGGAGCAAAGATTGAGATATGGAGCCCAATT